TGTTTTTGTGATCAGGCTTTTTTTTTTTAATTTAAACAGTTGCAATGGTAATTCTGGATTTCTGAAGAAGAATTGTAAAAAAAAAAAAAAAAAGAAGACTTCTCATTTTTCTTTCAACAGGTATTATTTTAATTGGCCATATCCTCACTATTATTATTTTTATCAGAGGGAGGCAGTGTGGCATGCCATTATTTTGGGAAATGGACAAGTGCATGTCCAACCCCATATTTTATAAACAATTAGGGCCCCCACTTCCTATAAGTGGGGGCTGAGGGTGCACTAGGTGGATGGTGGTCAGAGAAAGCCATTAGGTCCTCCCCCATTTGCAATTAAAATGAAGTCCCCCATCTGGATACAAGGCATTGGGAAACACTAGGCCCTATCCCTTTATTATTGTTATTAAAGGACCACTATAGTGCCAGGAAAACATACTCATTTTCCTAGCACTATAGTGCCCTGAGGGTGCCCCCACCCTAATGGTCCCACTCCTGCCGGGCTGGATGGCAAGGAAAGGGGTTAAACTTACCTTTTTTCCAGCGCCGGGCGGGGAGCTCTCCTCCTCCTCTCCACCTCCGATCCTCCTCTTCGGCTGAATGCGCATGAGCGGCAGGAGCTGGGCGCGCATTCAGCCTGTCTCATAGGAAAGCATTCATAATACTTTCCTATGGACGCTGGCATCTGTCAATGAGACAGCCACTAGAGGCTTTAGATGCTGGATTAACCCTATTATAAACATAGCAGTCTCTGAAACTGCTATGTTTATAAAAAAAAAAAGGGTTAATCCTAGAGGGACCTGGCACCCAGACCACTTCATTAAGCTGAAGTGGTCTGGGTGCCTAGAGTGGTCCTATAAGGCCCACGCCTGCTGCCAATATGTGGAGGCCAGTGGGGGAGACACAAGGCCCTCCTCAATGAATAGCCCTTACCCAATTTCCACTGGTTAGGGCACAGGGAGGAGTATGGTCCTCAAGTTTTTTCATAGGCCCAACCAATTTTCCTAGTGGCTGGGCAGCAATCGCTGCCTGGTCTCTAGTTTTAAATATTTAGTAGATATGATTTTAGATAAATGCACTCGAACGTCGCCTTGACAGTTCCAGATCAGGGACTCCCTCCAGCCCCAAGTAGATATGATTTTAAAAAAAAAAAAATGACTTTTTTTAAGAGCTGGCCAGCCACCGCATAACTAACCCTCGCACAGCCAAAGCCAAAAATGTGGTCTTTTTAGAGTGTTTTGGTGTATGTATGCATGGTTCTTTTGACTTTACCAACTGCTATGTTCCTCGTGCATTTAAATTTTAACCATAAAGAACACAGAGCAATTGGTATCTCTGTATTTCTACATGAATTAACAAAATCATAAAAACATAGTTTCACCAAAAATTGAAAAGACAAAATAAATAGAAGATAATGTGATTATTTTATAAAAGGCAGCAAATTTCAGTTAAATTACCCAGTGTAATAATGTTTTAATCCGTTCCAGGATTCAATGCTCATTTTATTAAACAGGAAGCAGAGTATTGAAGAGAAATTCAAATTAAAATGACTATTAGTATTACGGGGAGAAGGGGTAAGAGATTCTTTATGATACCACAGAACATGCTGTAGAATGACTAAATAGTTTGGCATGTTGATGTCAGAAGGAGGCGTTTTACCTAAATGAACACCTGCACACAGCAAAGGTGCCAAGACACAATGAAAGCAGGTGGCCATCAATGTGAGTAATACAAAAAAAAAAGAATTGTAATCGTGGGAAATAGAGAGAAAAGAAAAAAAGAATGCATCTGAAGCTCCTGCTACCATTTTCTGTAACTGTTCATTTTGTCTCCACGTAAGTGTCTAATCTCTTGATAATAATGTCCCTTTCTATTCTGATAACTTACGGAACTATCTAAACAGTGTGAATCTATTTGATCACAGTGCCAGCGCCTGCCTTTGAAAGGATTCTGTCACAGAGCCAAGCACTTGAGTCCGTATCCCAGGCAGAGATTCTATTACCTGCCAAAGCTAACTATATCAGTGCCTAAGGGAATGTGTGCTCTGTGGCAGTGAATGGGTTATGTGGAATTGTAAAAAGAACATATAAAATTCACTAATGTTACTAGAGGGACGCACTTAGACATCAACAGGTATGGACTACTGCAGACACAGATATTCCAGTGTACACCCAGATTGTCAATTTTGGCACATATTTTAGAATGCAGAGGTCTGTGACTCACAATTACACCTACCATTTTCATTTTTGTTGGTTGTTAACATGCAAACATTGCAAATTTTAAAGGGGAGCTGCTATTTTCCACACCAACCTCAATTTCTCTCACTAATATACCCCTAAAATAATAAACAGCCAGGTGAGAAGCTTTATGTTATGATAGATATAACACATCACATGGGCCTTTCCAGATTATTATATTTTCATTTAAAGCATTTATATTGAGGTTGCCTTTTCCCCCAATTAAATCTCTAAATGCACACATGGATCATGAGAGGCCTAGCAGCATTTACATCAGACTCCTGATGTTTTAAGTCCTACTAGTTTTAGGTGTAGAGAGCCTAAGCACCGGTTTACACCTTGTAATTATCATGCAATTTGCAAGTATTACCCATTGTTTACAAAACACTAACCAAATGTTGAATCATGAAGGAGGAAAAGTAAGATCTGAGCCAAAAGGAATACCAAGGCAGCGTGCTTGAGGAGATGGGGTAATGGACGGGGGGTGACTATTTGAGAGGATAAAGATGAGGAGTTCGGTTTTAGGAAGATTTAGATAATGGAAAGACATCTAGTTAGAGATGGAAAAAAGTTCTAGGAGAGCAGGGGAGAGGTCAGAGAAGAAGAGGTAAATCTGATTATCGTCTGCATATAGATGGTATTGAAATCCAAGTTATTAAGGTTATTAAAAGAGGCAGTGTTAATGGAGAATAGAAAACCATAAACAGAGCCCTGAAGGGGACTAACCATAGAAGGAGACACTAAATGGGCAATCAAAAAGATAGGATGAAAACAAGGAAAGTACAGTGTCACAGATTCCAAGGTTGTGGAGGGTTTGAAGAAAAAGAGTATGGTACAGGTATGTCCTGTCGATCTTAATATTTCATGAAAGTGACTTATTTCTTTAACTCTCTGAGCACTGGCTAGGAGTACGATTTGCATCATCTGTGTACTTTTTGGGGGAAATGGCTTTGTTTGGGTTTTATATTTGTCTATCTTGGGTATTGATCACTTAACAATAGTCATTCACATAGCTGTTACAGTAATGGTATCTTCTTTGTAGGTGAGCACTTACAGAAGCTTGCACTCACCCAAATTCGAGCTGACTCCCAATGAGCACATGGCTGATTTGCATTCCTCTGCATTACACTGATTTCCCCATCTCGAATTTCCAAGCCAACCTGGAAGGTACATGGTGGAGGGGAGATGTATCTAAATGAAGTATAGGCGTACCCTCTCCTTACCTCCTTTTGTTTGATTCAAACATCAATCTTTATAAAGGAGTTTGTAAAAATAAATTATAAAAAAAATAAACATGTTTAACTTTTGATGTGTGCCTGATACAGAAATCATTTTTACATCATTGGAATGGTCACAATTTATCTATTCCATACACATCTTACAAGACCCATCTACAAAGCAATATGTACAGTGTGTTCTCATTGTTCTGAATATGTATAACAGGAGATATGATTATTAATCAGTGGGTTATTATTATGGTTTTCTGGTTATGATCATTAGCAGAAAATTGTCTTCTGGCTGCTAATTGTCAATAAGCATAACAAGAGGCCAAGATATATGAAGAGATATAGGCAAATGGTATATAGTCATCAAGTCTAAGGAAAGATAAAACTTTTGGGTGTACAATTTTGCACCTGGTAGAGGGACGAAGTTGCGGACCAAACTTTAAATGAAGAATTCACTTTGCAAACCTTTCCCTGTGATCTGACACTTCACACTATCCTATACAACCAAATTAACCCATCATGCTAAAATCAGCCATACGACCTCTACCAGGTGACCAATTTATGTATACACTACGCACATTTAATAACAATATGTTTATAGTGCAACAATGAATTCCACTTGCTGGGCATGACAGATGCTGTCACCCCAAGTCTTGGATCCTGAATTCCTGGGAGACATTGATAGACTGAAGACGCTGGAAGCATTGTACATGGCAAAATATGTTGTACGTTGTGCATTACAGAATATGCTGACAATGAATAAATAAAATAATGATAATAGAAAACTCATAATAGCACAGCCCCTCTGAACACATTATATCAGCTATCTAATTCTTTTGGGGCTTTTCCTCTTCACTGTCAAGGAAAATATATGTCAAGACCAGTGTTTCGTTCTGCAGAAAGAAACTACAGATCTGTACAGCTGGCTGCTGATTTCACGTTTTAACCTAGGGAGCCTCATTGCAAAAACCTCCATCTGCATTGACAGACAAAATTTCCCTAGCTCATCTTTAATGAGAAGACTGAAAACAACAATGTGATCTAGTTAGACTTTGAGGATATTGAAACTGATATTGCACCAGTAAATAGAGCACAGAACACCTTCATTTAAAAAATATTTTTTTCAAAATCTGCAAAATGGGCAGAAGATCAATAGAACTTAACCTGGCATTAAAAGCTTAACAATTTTTTTTTTCAATTCTTTTTTATTCTTAATCCACAAAATTAGAGAAAAATAAGTAACAAGGTTTAAGACATCACAATACAATTATGCCTAGCCATGGCAGCAGCAGCTTGAACATGAGGATTAAGCTTTTACTATATTTTATGAAAGTAGTAACAAGATACATAACCTGTTAAACCGGGCAAACCGTTCCCCACAAGAGATCGCTAGGTGTTTCAAATATTACAGAGGGGTGGGCTGGCGTTGTGCCTCTTATAATAGCAAGGATATAAGCAGGGAGTGAACCCACTTGGTGGGACAAGAGGCTGATACCCAGTAAGTTGTACAATGACATATAACAGGGCTAGAGAGTGTGGGTGGGGGGAGATAGAGTAAGGGAGATTAACCCCATATGCCAGCGAAGAAAAGTGATGTGTGACATACTGTAATGAGCACTCAGCTGATAATTGTCATACCAACAGTAATATAAGTCAACAACAATCAAAGCAAATAAAACCAAACATTAATAAACGAGAGGCGTTTTGCTTGTTGTAGGTATATGCACAGGTGGGGGTGTTCAGACAACAGCAGTGGATGCTGGGTTTTCCTGGCTGGCGTCCGGCATGAACAGACAAACCCTGGCAGGATCCCAGTCTGTATGCCGCAAGGGTGCTCCTGACTGCTGTTGTTCTCCGGTGCACGTAGACAGCCCCAGTATCTGCAGAGTTCGGCCACTTCCGAGGCATCAGTAATTTTTAAAGTCCCAGTATCGCGGGAACCCGGCAGACTCCTGGGAGAGCCCCATTTGTATGGTATCCGGTGCTCTATTAGCTCAGCAGTTAAGGGTCGCATGGACCTCCGCCAGTCCATTGTGGCTTTGGACAGGTCTGGGTAGAAGGCTAGTGAATGTTCCTCGAAGCGGGAAGGATACTTGTGACAAACCGTTGATGTCCTCTTTAAACTTATTAATGTCAGCAGCTATATTGCGTCGGAGCTCAGCTAAAAGAGTCTTTAAAGTACCTTCTCTCACCGGTGGATCGCCAGATTTTATTAGAGGTAAGTCTACTTTGCAGGTGTTTCCTGCTCCCGTATGTCGACAAGGGCTGACTCATTGGACGACCTGGAGGGCCCGCCAGAGAGAGGCGCCATGTCAGGCGTCATGGGATTCATCGGTCTCCATAAAAGATTGCCAATATCGGTGGTTGCCAATATCTGCCCTATATTGCTTGTTGTTGCATCCTATCATATGAGGTAGGGAATGCTAACACTTTGGGGGAAGTATCGCTGGAAAATCAGATAGTAGTGTTAGATATTTCTCCTGCTGCTTCGGAGCACCATCAAAACACATCCAGTCAGTATGGCTTAACAATTTTAGGTCTTAATGTTTATCATCCTGGAGTTGTATTTAACCCCTTAAGGACTGAGCGAAATGTACACATTTTGATCAAAACAAAACGTAAACAAATCTTGGAAACTGACTATATGTCTGTTCAACCGTAATTCACCTCTTTCATATAAGTGCACCCACACTTATTATATATCATTTTATTCAGGAGAAATAGGGCTTTCATTTAACATGAAATATTTAGCTAAGAAACATAATTTAATATGAATAAAATATAAAATAATTTGAGGCATTATGAAATTTTGTTATTTTATTAGTTCTACGTGACATTTTAACTGTGAATGTCATAATACTGCTTACATTTACTGCAATAAAATACACATATTTGTATTCAGCGATGTCTCACGTGTAAAACAGTACCCCCTATGTACAGGTTTTATGGTCTTTTGGGAAGTTACAGGGTCAAATATAGCATTTTACATTTTTCAGTTTTTTCACATTGAAATTCGCCAGATTGGTTAAGTTGCCTTTGAGGCTACCATACGCAGGGCCGGTGCAAGGATTTTTGCCGCCCCCCCATGTGACATCACAATGCCCCACCCATATGATCTGCCATGTTAACTAACGCCAGTGCTCCAGTCCCGCGTGTTTACATTAAAAGGCCTGCAGGGACAGGCTAGACACCAGAACCACTACATTAAGCTGCAGTGGTTCTGGGGACTATAGTGTTTCTTTAATGTGAGGTAAATTAGAGATTAGTGCCACGAATAATATACTAGATTGCCTACTTACAACCAGATGAGGATGATGATGGTCTCTAGCTGCAGTCTGGCTCCACTGGTCTGGTGTAGAACAGGCTCTCTGGAGGCGGTTTGTAACTGTGGTCACAAAAATCAATGTTTTGGGAGAACGGGAAGCAGCTCCATTTTTTGGGGGTCCTTTACACAGCTCAAGGTCTGGGTCCCAGGGTCCACCTTCATGTTCCACCAATGAGTTTGTTCACAGGGGGTGGAGTGTGTAGGGGATGTCCTGATATGTGTGTAAGGAATGCATTGTGTGAATCTGTGTTTGTATGTGTAAGGGCTGCAAGGTGTGTTTCTGTGTATGTACGGGATGCAGTGTCTGCGTCTGTAAGGGATGCATTGAGTGTGTGTAAGGGGTGCATTGACTGTGTGTAAGGAATGCATTGTGCGTTTCTGTGTGTGTAAGGGATGCATTGTGTGTAAGGGTTGCATTGCTTGTGTATGTGTGTCTGTGTGTGTAATGCATTGTGTGTGAAATGCATTGTGTGTTTTTCTGTGTGCAAGGGGTGCATTGTCTTTGTGTGTAAGGGGTGCATTGTGTGTGTGTGTGTGATGGATGTCAATCTCTTCTCCCCCCTCTCCCTCCCTTGTCCCTCTCTTCTTCCCCCCTCCCTTGTCACTCTCTTCTCCCCTGCTTGTCCCTCTCCCCTCCCTTGTCACTCTCTTCTCCCCCGTTGTCACTCTCCTCTCCCCTCCCTCTCCCCACTCTCATTCCCTCTCTCTCCCCCTGTCAATTTATTTCTCCCCCCCTGTCAATTTATTTCTCCCCCTGTCAATTTCTTCCCCCTGTCAATTTATTCCCCCCCTGTCAATGTATTCCCCTCAATTTTGTTACTGTCAGTTTGCCTCCTCCTGTCAATTTATTTCCCTCCCTATTAAATTTATTTTTTATTTTCCACCCTGTCAATTTATTCCCCCCTCCTGTCAATTTATTTCCCACAGTCAATTTATTCCCACCTGTCAATTTATTTCCCCGGTCAATTTATGTGTGATTGTGTGTGTGTGATGGTCAATCTCTCCCCCTTCTTGTCACTCCTTTGTTCCTCCTTCTCCCCCTCCCTTGTCCCTCTCTTCTCCCCCTCCTTGTCACTCTCTTCTCCCCGTTGTCATCTCTTCTCTCTCCTCTCCATCAGTTATTTCTCCCCCCCCTGTCAATTTATTTCTCCCCTGTCAATTTCTTCCCCCTGTCAATTTATTTCCCTCCTCCTGTCAATTTATTCCCCCTTGTCAATTTATTTCCCCGTCAAATTTATTTTCCACCCCGTCAATTTATTCCCCCCCCCTGTCAATTTATTTCCCCCTCCCCTACCTCTGTTTTAGCGTGACCGAGCTCTGTATGGTCCGCGGGTACAGGGAGCTTTTGTTTCCTGTACCCGGCCGGACGGATAGGAAGGTGCACACTCAGTGTGTGCACTTCCTGTTAGTCTGGCCGGGTACAGGAGACAGATGCTCCCTGTACCCGCGGACCATACAGAGCTCTGCCACGCTACAGTGAGGGAGTGACAGGAGGGAGCGCTGAGCGCTGATCGCTTCCCTCTTGTCAGCTCCTGTCCTCATGCTGCGCCCAGGCGGTGCGCCCTCATGGACACACCAGCCCGGGCAAAGCTGCAGTCACCTGAGGCTCTCTACAGAGCACTCGGGCGGCTGCAGCATGAGGGGGGCCAGCGCTCCTGGCGGCGCCCCTTCCCAAGGGGCACCCTAGGAGGCTGCCTAGTCCACCTAACAGGTAGCGCCGGCCCTGACCATACGGTCTCAAAGGCAACGTAACCTATCTGGCAAATTTCAATGTGAAAAACCTGAAACACAAGCCTTATATTTGACTCTGTAACTTTTGAAAACACCATAAAACCTGTACATGAGGGGTACTGTTATACCCGGGAGACTTTGCTAAACACAAATATTAGTGTTTCAAAACCATAAAATGTATTACAACAATTATATAGTCAGTGTAAGTGCCATTTGTGTGTGAAAAATGCAAAAAAGTCACTTTCACTGATGATATCATCATTGTAATACATTCTACTGTTTTGAAACACTAATATTTGTGTACAACAAAGTATCCCGAGTAAAACAATACCTTCCATGTACAGGTTTTATGGTGTCTTGGAAAGTTACAGGGTTAAATATAGTGCTAGCAAATTAAATTCTCTGGACTTTCTGCCTGGGTTATCAGGCAGGTCCCGCAAATTGGCATGAATAAAATGACTTAATTAAGTAAAAATGTTACATAAATATATACATAGAATTAAGAAAAAAAAACATATATATATATATATATATATATATATAGATATATATACAAAAGTAAAAGAGGTGTACTCGTAGGTCTTGTTCCAACGTGTAGATTTATTTAATGATAATTAAATGGTGTCCCAATCAACGTTTTGACCCATCAGGGACTTTTTCAAGACCACTGAGGGGTTGAAACATCGATTGGGACACCACTTGAATATCATTAAATAAATCTACACTTTGGAACAAGACCTGCGAGTACACCTCTTTTGCTTTTGTATATATTCCCTATGCTGGTAGCACCAAGGCTTTAAGAAACGGAAGGGGTGAGTGCTCAGGATCATTTATATGTATATATATATATATATATTTATATATATATATATATATATTTTATATTTTTGTATATATAGTGATATATACATATATTTATGTGTATAGATAGAAATAAAGTAAGGACTTTGAAAATATCGTGAAAAAGCGTAGCACTTTATTCAGGCATCTGCCACAGAAGATCAACGTTTCAGTTCTCTAAGGAACGTTCGTCAGGATACCATATATAGATATATATTATTTTGTTCTAAGTATATTTTGATATCAATATACAGTTAGAATGAAATTACACACATATATATATATATATATATATATATATATACATATAAATTATTATTTTTTTCTTTTTCTTTTTATATTTATTTATATTATATATTTATAATAATTATATATATATTTAACTAATATCATTCTACTTGTATTTTGATATTAATATATATATAATTATATATATATTAATATTAAAATACACTTAGTGTATGCTTAGACTTGTCTTCCCTTACGGGAATTGTAGTTTTACACAAGGCTCAGATCTGCCTTTAGGCGAACTGTAGACAGTAGCAATATTTTTAGAGTTTTCACAATATTTGAGTTTCCATATTAGACCATTAATATAGATGTAAAATAGTAATGTGTTGCTGTATATTTTAATACCTTTTTAGCAGACCAACATAAATTTGTAGTGATAAGCTTTCAGGAATGCATCCTTTTATAAAATCTAAATCCTTTTGGTTTAGAATTCACAAAATGAGGAACTCTGAACTCCAATTCTTTGTTAGAACAGTAAACAAGATATTAAAAGATAATACGATACTTCACTATTTTGTATCTGGAGTTTTTATAACATACTGCTCAGAGGTTTTCCTGGCAATTGCATTCAGTCTAATTCCTCAGAACTGCAGTCCCCAATATTCTTAACCAACCCTTTAGCTGTCTGAACATAACAAAATGTTGTCCACTGATGATTGGCAACATTTGGCACTCCAGATGTAGTGCATCTTCATCTCGTCTGATGCTTTTCCAGAATCATAGCTGTAAGAGCATTATGAGAAATGTAGTCCAAAGCATCTGCATTGCTGAAGGTTGCCTACTCATGCTCTATACAATACAGCCACTGAGTTGGAGCCAAGGTCCAGTGTAGACACCACTCATACCTATATCACTTATGAATAAAGCTTAACTTCCTCACACACAAAATTATGTAACAGATTAAGAAAAGTTATAATCAGTTGAAGTCAGCAAATCCCATTCTACCACTTAAGTAGTCATAAAGGTTATCAAGAATACTCACACAAAAATGGGAAACAAGGCAGCACTCACTCATCTGCAATCTGCTTGATTCTTTTCATGATGTGTGCAACATTTGCTTGGCGCAACTGGGATGCCAATCAGCATATGGAGAATCTGCGACTGGTCCTCCCTTACTTGCACCCTGGAGCATGATCGTAGTGCGTGGTGGCGGTAATAATAATAATAATAATACAAATAAAAGAAAACTAACACTAACATGAGCATTAAAATATTATATATGTGTTTGTTTTTTTCCTCTGTGCCATAAGAAGATGTGGCACAGAAAGTATATTTAGTGTTTGTGTGTCTTTATTGTAATTTATAATATTTCAACGTATTGTATTTTATGATAGACACCCTA